AAAAAAAACGTTCCAAGCCAAACTGCTACACACAGCCTACATCGTTGTCACCATATTAGCTAAAGTAATGTCATAGTCAGCATAGCTAATAGAACTAACGCGTTGGTAAACCCACTACAATCATACAGTAATGTGAAGTGAAACTCAAAGTGAGAAAAAAAAATTACAATCTCTATTTCTCTCTTGCTTGTCTTTCATTTTGGAAGAAATTAATTTGTTCAAAACTGTTCAACTACTGTCTTTCTCTCTCTTTGAGTCAACTACTCACCACATTTTATGCACTGCAGTGCTAGCTAGCTGTAGCTTATGCTTTCTGTACTAGATTAATTCTCTGATCCTTTGATTGGGTGGACAACATGTCAGTTCATGCTGCAAGAGCTCTGATAGGTTGAAACATCCTCCGGAAGTTGTCATAATTACTGTGTAAGTCTATGGAAGGGGGTGAGAGCCATGAGCCTCCTAGGTTATGTAATGAAGTCAATGTACCCAGAGGAGGACGGAAGCTAGCTGTCCTCTGGCTACTGCATGGTGCTACCCTACAGAGTGCTGTCGAGGCTACTGTAGACCTTTGCAAAATAGTGTGTTTTAATCAATTATTTGGTGACGTGATTATATTTAGTATAGTTTTATCTAAAAAGGATAACTTTTTTAATGTTTTACCATTTTTCACTGAGGAGGATGGTCCTCCCCTTACTCCTCTGAGAAGCCTCCACTGAAGTATAGGTAAGTATTTTCTGATAGGAGTAGGCCTACATGGATGAGAACCCCCTCACTACCTGGTCATAGTTCTCTACCCAGGTGTTGTAGAAGTTGACTGTCCCCGGCCTCTGGAATATTTACAGAATTAACTGACATAATGATGTCCTTCACATCTTCATATGTTCTGGTGGAAGCTGCCATTCTAGATCCTTCTCGCGCTGCATGAGGCAAATGGTGGTCACACCAGATACTGACTGGTTTCCTGATCCACGCCCTACCTTTTTTTTTAAAGGTATCTGTGACCAACAGATGCATATCTGTATTCCCAGTCTTGTGAAATCCATAGATTAGGGCCAAATGAATTTACTTCAATTGACTGATTTCCTTATTTGAACTGTAACTCAGTAAGTTCTTTGAAATTGTTGCGTTTGTATATTTTTTTCAGTATACATTTACATTTTAGTCATTTAGCAGATGTTCTTATCCAGAGCGACTAACAGGAGCAATTAGGGTTAAGTGCCTTGCTCAAGGGCACATCGACAGGTTTTTCACCAAGTCAGCTCGGGGATTCTAACCTGCGACATTTCGGTTATTGGTCCAACACTCTTAACCGCTAGGCTACCTGCCGCCCAGAATCCCCACCCAGTTGACTACTTTAAAATGGTGGAAGCCCTCAATGGCAACGTCCATGCTAAAACGGGTTATAGCCATGATTAGTCCTCTATCTATCTCTATGACAACAGGCACAACTCCGATATAAAGTCGTTTTGGGGTAAGTTGCGTAACAACCTAACCACTACGAAACTTCTATTTGATAAAATACGCCTCATGTAGCAATTCAATTTTGGGTTGACCAAATTCAACGCTCATTGACCTCCACACAACAATTCCTCACTTTGTGGGCTTATTGTCGTGGACAGATTTTGGCAGCAGTAAAACCTCTTGCTTTGCCTCTTTCTCTCTGCTATCGGGAACTTCTTCCAGTGTGTGGGTGGACTATTTCCACTTTGGCATCTCGAATTGCGTTACCAACATGAGAGGAACATGCCTCAAGACTGCCTGGCCTGATGACTCCTGGCTGTCCCCATTCCACCTGGTCGTGCTGCTGCTCCAGTTTCAACTCTTCTGCCTGCAGCTATGGAACCCTGACCTGTTCACCGGACGTGCTACCTTGTCCCGGACCTGCTGTTTTCGACTCTCTCTCTCTCCCACACCTGTTGTCTCGACCTCTGAATGCTAGGCTATGAAAAGCCAACTGACATTTACTCCTGAGGTACTGACCTGTTGCACCCTCTACAACCACTGTGATTATTATTTGACCCTGCTGGTCATCTATGAACGTTTGAACATCTTGAAGAACAATCGGGCCTTAATGGCCATGTACTCTTATAATCTCCACCCGGCACAGCCAGAAGAGGACTGGCCACCCCTCAGAGCCTGGTTCATCTCTAGGTTTCTACAGAGGTGCCTGCCTCTCTAGGGAGTATTTCCTAGCCACCGTGCTTCTACATTGTTTGCTGTTTGGGATTTTAGGCTGGGTTTCTGTATAAGCACTTTGTGACATCTGCTGATGTAAAAAGGGCTTTATAAATACATTTGATGATTTGATTTGTGTTGGTTGAGTTTAAACACCAATAAAGACAATTGACATACATGATGATTACAACAGCTAAAGGCTCATAAATTAATTACTAGGGTTTGTTATGAAAAATAAATAAACAAACAAAAACCATATAGACAGTATACGATTAGAAATAGTTAAAGAATCATTATCAACAACGATACAAAATAAATGCTCTTACATGATTCAATTGATCACAAACTTTCAAATTAATGTTGCATTTTGGGGAATTAAAAATTGTCTGACTTGCATCTACATGTCACTGTGTCCACCTCCAGAATTACTCGGCATTACTCATGCAACTCTACTAGTGCAACTTCTGAAGCTACAACTGGCTTGTCTGACGACGACTCCACTACAATTTCTGAAGGTTACAGTTTCTCACAAATTCTGATGCCTATAAATCCAGGCTATTTTGTTCTATCAGCCAAACTATAAAATACAACTCGTACATGATTGACAACATGATCATAATGAAATACATTTGTTGTTGATATATTGTTAGATTAATTTGTATTTTAAGAATAATGACTAAAGGATTTCACCCCAAATACAGTATAAATGTGTAAACTGTGTTACAATTATCAACCCACTAACAGAGGGGGGGGGGGGGCGGGACTAAACATTCCAGGGTGAAGGAGAAAGGTGGAAACTGTTTAAGAAAGCCTCCTAAAGGTGGGCGGAGCAAAGTGCCTTTGTGTGTCAAGAGGTATAAAACAGGTGTATGGGTTTTGGGCGCCAGAGCTCTCCATGAATAAAAATACAGATCATTCTTGCTGGTTGTGGACCTTGATTCATTTATGATTAAAACCAGAGCCTTACAACCTCTGGTAATGATTCAAGCTTAGGTTGAATTAGAGATAGAAATTCTCTTAACATATATCCAAAGACAACACAGGTCTTTGAAGTTTGACATAAAAGGGCTAGCGTAAAGCTAATGCTAAATTACTTTAAAATTCTTCTTCTCATGAACTGCAACTCAGATTTATTCAAGATTTGGTATATAGACACTCTGTAACGGCCGCTAGATAAAATTGTGCAGTTCGGAGCAACACGACCGTTAGACCTGATTCCAATTTTCTGCGGATGAGCTTCGCTAGCTAACGTCGCCATAACATTGCCTACAAGCGTGATTGGGGGATTTCTATTGGAGAAGCAGTTTCTAGGCATCTTTATACTAAACAATCTTTGGAATAGTTGCTGCCTTCAAAGATGGTCGCTCAATGCCAATGGAGGGCGCCACTGACACAGACTGTACAGGGGTGTTACTGCGATGTCACTGTTATGGCCTGTACAGGGGTGTTACTGTGATGTCACTGTTATGGCCTGTACAGGGTGTTACAGGAGTGTTACTGTGATGTCACTGTTATGGCCTGTACAGGGGTGTTACTGTGATGTCACTGTTATGGCCTGTACAGGGGTGTTACTGTGATGTCACTGTTATGGCCTGTACAGGGGTGTTACTGTTCTGTGATGTCATTGGTTTTATGGCCTGTACAGGGGTGTTACTGTGATGTCACTGTTATGGCCTGTACAGGGGTGTTACTGTGATGTCACTGTTATGGCCTGTACAGGGGTGTTACTGTGATGTCACTGTTATGGCCTGTACAGGTGTGTTACTGTGATGTCACTGTTATGGCCTGTACAGGGGTGTTACTGTGATGTCACTGTTATGGCCTGTACAGGGGTGTTACTGTGATGTCACTGTTATGGCCTGTACAGGGGTGTTACTGTGATGTCACTGTATCAGGTGTACAGGTGTGTTACTGTGATGTCACTGTTATGGCCTGTACAGGGGTGTTACTGTGATGTCACTGTTATGGCTGCGATGTTACAGGTGGTGTTACTGTGATGTCACTGTTATGGCCTGTACAGGATGTTACAGGTGTGTTACTGTGATGTCACTGTTATGGCCTGTACAGGGGTGTTACTGTGATGTCACTGTTATGGCCTGTACAGGATGTTACAGGTGTGTTACTGTGATGTCACTGTTATGGCCTGTACAGAGGGTGTGTTACTGTGATGTCACTGTTATGGCCTGTACAGGGTGTTACTGTGATGTCACTGTTATGGCCTGTAGGATGTTACGGTGTGTTACTGTGATGTCACTGTTATGGCCTGTACAGGGGTTGTGGTTTACTGTGATGTCACTGTTATGGCCTGTACAGGGGTGTTACTCAGGTGTTACTGTACACTGTTATGGCCTGTACAGGGGTGTTACTGTGATGTCACTGTTATGGCCTGTACAGGGGTGTTACTGTGATGTCACTGTTATGGCCTGTACAGGGGTGTTACTGTGATGTCACTGTTATGGCCTGTACAGGGGTGTTACTGTGATGTCACTGTTATGGCCTGTACAGGGGTGTTACTGTGATGTCACTGTTATGGCCTGTACAGGGGTGTTACTGTGATGTCACTGTTATGGCCTGTACAGGGGTGTTACTGTGATGTCACTGTTATGGCCTGTACAGGGGTGTTACTGTGATGTCACTGTTATGGCCTGTACAGGATGTTACAGGGGTGTTACTGTGATGTCACTGTTATGGCCTGTACAGGATGTTACAGGTGTGTTACTGTGATGTCACTGTTATGGCCTGTACAGGGGTGTTACTGTGATGTCACTGTTATGGCCTGTACAGGGGTGTTACTGTACAGGGGTGTTACTGTGATGTCACTGTTATGGCCTGTACAGGGGTGTTACTGTACAGGGGTGTTACAGGTGTGTTACTGTGATGAGGTCAATGTGATACGATACAATATACTTTATTGTCCATTTACATGGAAATTATTTTTTCAGTTAGCATAAAAAATAAAATAAAAACCTGTACAGGTGTGTGTGATGTTACTGTGATGACTTCCTGTAAACATATACCACTCCAGGTATGTACCCCTTCTCCTGCTCCGCCACGGCTTTCTCCCACTCCTCCACCTCCTTGATCGCCACGTGACCCCAGAGCCCCGCCCCCTCCATCAGCTCCAGCTCATGCTCCAGCGCCGCCTTGTACTCCAGGTTGTCATGGTTACCTCTGGTCGTCATGCAGACGTAACCACCTGTGGCAGGTCAAAGTGAGGCGTGGTGGTGAGTTTGTTTCTGTCTCTTTCTGTTTATAAACACACTATTACATCTACACAATCCGGCTGTTTGTAGATCTCCATTGTTACTTGTTCCATATATGTATTTCAGTATTATTACTGAATAGTATCCTTCAGTAATAAGGCCCGAGGAGGTGTGGTATATGGCCATTCTTATACAGCCCTTAGCCGTGGTATATTGGCCATATACCACAAACCTGGTTACCAACGCAACTAGAAGAGTAAACAAGTCATGTTGCGTCACACCAGTGGTATATTGTCTGACATACCACGGCTTTCAGGACCCAAACTACCCGCTTTAGAAATTGTTTCAAAGCCTACTACATTATGTACAGTATGTTTTGTCCAGTTAAAAACAGTCAGAATGTTACCTGGTTTGGTGGCCTGGCACAACTCTCTGATGACTTTCACTGGCACCTGGCCGTCGCTCAGCGCCCCGACAATCACTACCACGTCAAACTGCCCTGCATGGGGGTGGAGGAGGACGATGACGAGTTACGGGGGACGAGGAACAGAGGAGGGGGAATAGATAGGGTGGAGGGTAATAGATAGGGAGGAGGGGGAATAGAGAGTAGGGGAGGGGGGAATAGTGAGGGAAGGGGAATAGAGAGGGATGAGGGGAATCGAGAGTGGGAATAGAGAGGGGGAGGGAGAAAGGGGGAAGGGGAATAGAGAGGGGGGGATAGGAGGGGGAATAGAGAGGGATGAGGTGGGGAGGGGGGGAGGGGGAATAGAGAGGGGGAGGGGAATAAGAGGGAGGGGGGGGAATAGAAGAGGGGAGGAGGGGGAGGAATAGAGAGGGGAGGAGGGGGAATAGAGAGGAGGAGGGGGGAATAGAGAGGGGGAGGGGGAATAGAGAGGGGGAGGGGGAATAGAGAGGGGGAGGGGGAATAGAGGGGGGGGGGGGAATAGAGAGGGGGGAGGGGGAATAGAGAGGGGGAGGGGGAATAGAGAGGGGGGAGGGGGAATAGGAGGGGGAATAGGAGGGGGGGGATGAGGAATAGAGAGGGGGAGGGGGAATAGAGAGGGGAGGGGGAATAGAGAGGGGGAGGGGGAATAGGAGGGGAAAAGAGGGGGAGGGGGAATAGAGAGGGGAGGGAATAGGGGGGAGGGGAATAGAGAGGGGAGGGGAGGGGGAGGGGGAATAGAGAGGGGGAGGGGGAAATAGAGAGGGAAGGGGGGAATAGAGAGGGGGGGAGGGGGAATAGAGAGGGAAGGGGGAATGAGAGAGGGGGGAGGGGGAATTGAGGGGAGGGGAATAGAGAGGGGGGGGAGGGGGAAATAGAGAGGGGGGGAGGGGAATAGAGAGGGGAGGGGGAGGGAATGGGGAGGGGGAATAGAGAGGGGGAGGGGGGGGAGGGGGAATAGAGAGGGAGGAGGGGTTATAAAGAGGGAGGGGAGGGGGGGGAATAGAGAGGGGGAGGGGGGAAATAGTGAGGGGAAGGGGGAGGGAATAGGAGGGGAAGGGGAGGAGGGAATAGAGAGGGGGAGGGGGAATAGGAGGGAGGGGGAGGGGGAAGGAATAGAGAGGGGGAGGAGGAGGGGGAATAGAGAGGGGAGGGGGAATATAGAGGGGGATGGGGAATATAGAGGGAGGAGGGGGGTAATAGAGACGGGGAGGGTTAAAAGAGAGGGGGAGGGGGAATAGAGAGGGGGAGGGGGAATAGAGAGGGGGGAGGGGGAATAGAGAGGGAAGATGAAGAGGAGGATGAAGAGGAGGAGGGGGAGAAAATAGACGGAGGGTGAAGAGGAGACAGTGAGAAACTGTAGTAAACTCTTTTCCACTGAGTTGTTTCCCTGAATTTGTTTGTGATCTCCCAGGGTAAAGCATGTCTAATCTAATCTCCCAGGGTAAAAGCATGAAAGTCTGCCAGTATTCAAGTCAGAATAAATCTAATGGTCTAATAATGTGTGATTGCTTCAGACTGATTGATATTTGCTGATTATTATGAACATGATCAGTTGTACAAAGTTCAAAATTCGGTGGTACCAGCTTGGATAGGAAGTGGTTCGTCTCCCAGCATGCATTGCTTGAGGTCCTGGTAGAGGCCCGTCTTATTGGCCAGTTCCAGCATGCCTTTGCTCCCGTCAACGCCCACAAAATGCCTGAAGCCCATCTTCTTCAGCTGCATACCAGACACAAAATCACAGACATCACCACTCACTTCAAAGCTACACTCTGTCCTGTGTACCGTGCAAAACTGTGTTAAAGCTACCTGACACTTTACCATAGGTGTCAGGGGGTGTGGTTTAGTGAGGCTCACCTGTGCTGCGACCAATCCTGTGCCACAGGCCACGTCCAGTATCACTGCTGTCACCCGGTCGCCATGGAAACAGGGGGACAGGCAGTTTGCCGCCAGACTCGGCGCACGATAGTCCAGAAGAACCACATCCTGCGGTGGAGTTAACATCCACACAATTATACACAGTAGACGCTGGAGTAGCCCAGTGTCTCTGGACCCCCGCAAAGTCTGAGTTTTACATAGATTAACATACTTTGGTGCGAAAAGTGCAAATCAATCTCAGAACAACAGCAAAGGACCTTGTGAAGATGCTGGAGGAAACAGGTACAAAAGTATCTATATCCACAGTAAAACGAGTCCTATATCGACATAACCTGAAAGGCCGCTCAGCAAGGAAGAAGCCACTGCTCCAAAAACGCCATAAAAAAGCCAGACTACGTATTACAACTGCACCTGGGGACAAAGATTGTACTTTTTTGAGAAATGTCCTCTGGTCTGATGAAACAAAAATAGAACTGTTTGGTCATAATGACCATCGTTATGTTTGGAGGAAAAAGGGGGATGCTTGCCAGCCGAAGAACACCATCCCAACCGTGACACACCGGGGTGGCAGCATCATGCTGTGGGGGTGCTTTGCTGCAGGAGGGACTGGTGCACTTCACAAAATAGATGGCATCATGAGGAAGGAAAATTATGTGGATATATTGAAGCAACATCTCAAGACATCAGTCAGGAAGTTAAAGCTTGGTCGCAAATGGGTCTTCCAAATGGACAATGACCCCAAGCATACTTCCAAAGTTGTGGCAAAATGGCTTAAGGACAACAAGTCAAGGTATGGGAGTGGTCATCACAAAGCCCTGACCTCAATCCTATCGAAAATTTGTGGGCAGAACTGAAAAAGCATGTGCGAGCAAGGAGGCCTACAAACCTGACAGTTACACCAGCTCTGTCAGGAGGAATGGGCCAAAATTCACCCAACTTATTGTGGGAAGCTTGTGGAAGGCTACCCAAAACGTTTGACCCAAGTTAAACAATTTAAAGGCAATGCTACCAAATACTAATTGAGTGTATGTAAACTTCTGACCCACTGGGAATGTGATGAAATAAATAAAAGCTGAAATAAATGATTAGTGGTTGGACTTTGGACAAATCTCAAATGACACCCTCGTCCCCCCTTTAGTGCACTATACCTCTTTTGACCAATGCCACTTAGACCTCAGGTCATAGGTCATAGGTCGTAATTCACTATATGTGAAATAGGGTGCCATTTGAGACTTTGTAATGATCCTACCTGGTCATAGTTCTCTGCCCAGGTGTTGTAAAAGCCGACTTTATCCCCGGCCTCTGTGTTTTTGTGGGCTGATAGAATGACGTCCTTCACGTCCTCGAATGTTCTATCTGACATTCTAGATGCTTGTCAAGCCTTTTGGTGGGACAAAATTCTGTAATCAATGTCATGCATTCAGAATACTAACCTTGGCCCTAGACACCAAACGTAAGGATTGGATTGACCTTATTATGTCAGGCCTATCAGAATAGGTCACAATAAGGTGCAGAGCGTTCGGCTGGTCAAACTCGAGGTGTCATTTTTTTAAAATCACCCCCCACCCCCCCACCCCAAAGTTACAAATAATCCCACCCTCCTCCCTAATAAAAATTACTCAAAAAAATTTCTTACCAGCATAAATAACAACAACTGTAGTAACCCTGTGTTTATAAATGTGGATATCAACCTTACCACGGTTTTGTGGCACAGTCGATGACATGCAGGGCTAACGGGCCAGAAAGTTGAGGGTTCGCAGACCACCAGGGACGAGCTCACTGTCCCTGCATGTCTCATTACACTACGATCAGAGCCGGCTGCAGACAATAATCAGATAGGGGGAAATCAGATTTTCTAAATTTTGATGCTATATTTATAATTAAATTAAATATACAGTGCCTTCAGAAAGTATTCAGACCCCTTGACTTTTTCCACATTTTGTTACGTTACAGTCTTATTCTAAAATTTATAAAATAAATTTAAAAATATATCAGCAATCTACACACAATACCCCATAATGACGAAGCGGAAACTGTTTTTTTAGACATTTTTGCAAATATATTACAAATAAAATACCTTAAATACATAAGTATTCAGACCTTTTGCTATGAGATTCGAAATTGAGCTCAGGTGCATCCTGTTTCCATTGATCATCTTTGAGATGTTTCTACAACTTGATTGGAGTCCACCTGTGGTAAATTAAATTGATTGGACATGATTTGGAAAGGCACACACCTGTCCATATAAGGTCCCACAGTTGACAGTGCATGTTAGAGCAAAAACCAAGCCATGAGGTCGAAGGAATTGTCCGTAGAGCTCCAAGATAGGATTGTGTCGAGGCACAGATCTGGGGAAGGGTACCAAAAATATTCTGCAGCATTGAAGGTCCCCAAGAACACAGTGGCCCCCATCATTCTTAAATGGAAGAAGTTTGGAACCACCAAGACTCTTCCTAGAGCTGGCCGCCCGGCCAAACTGAAAAATCGGGGGAGAAGGGCCTTGGTCAGGGAGGTGACCAAGAACCCGATGGTCACTCTGACAGAGCTCTAGAGTTCCTCTGTGGAGATGGGAGAACCTTCCAGAAGGACAACCATCTCTGCAGCACTCCACCAATCAGGCCTTTATGGTAGACTGGCCAGATGGAAGCCACTCATCAGTAAAAGGCACATGACAGCCTGCTTGCAATTTGCCAAAAGGCACCTAAAGACTCTCCGACCATGATAAACAAGATTCTCTGGTCTGATGTAACCAAGATTTAACTCTTTGGCCTGAATGCCAACCGTCATGTCTGGAAGACACCTGGCACCATCCCTTCGGTGAAACATGGTGGTGGCAGCGTCATGCTGTGGAGATGTTTTTCAGCGGCAGGGACTGGGAGACTGAACAGAGCAAAGTACAGAGAGATCCTTGATGAAAACCTGCTCCAGAGCGCTCAGGACCTCAGACTGGGGTGAAGGTTCACCTTCCAACAGGACAACGACCCTAAGCACACAGCTAAGACAACACAGGAGTGGCTTCGGGACAAGTCTCTGAATGTCCTTGAGTGGCCCAGCCAGAGCCCGGACTTGAACCCGATCGAACATCTCTGGAGAGACCTGAAAATAGCTGTGCGGCAACGCTCCCCATCCAACCTGGCAGAGCTTGAGAGGATCTGCAGAGAAGAATGGGGGAAACTCCCAAATACAGGTGTGCCAAGCTTGTAGCGTCATACCCAAGAAGACTTGATTCTGTAATCGCTGCCAAAGGTGCTTCAACAAAGTACTGAGTAAAGGGTCTGAATATTTATGTTAATGTGATATTTCAATTTTTTATATTTAATAAATTAGCAAACATTCCTAAAAACATGTTTTTGCTTTCTCATTATGGGGTATTGTGTGTAGAGTGATGAGAAAAAAATATAATTTAATCAATTTTGGAATAAGGCTGTAACGTAACAGTGGAAAAAGTAAAGGGATCTGAATACTTTCCGAAGGCGCTGTATGCAACAAATGTTCCACCAACAGGTTTATGTGCAACTGCACCACACACAACCAATAAGCAATGCATAACTGCATACCGATTAGCGACTTTGATCGCTTATCATCATGGTTTGCGTTTTCAACACCACAATCAAGTAGAGTATATCAATCTCGACAAACTGAAAATACATCCCTCCATACTCAGTATCGAAGGCTTGGTTTGACAATCTCCGAATGTCATTAAACCTTTTGATGTTTTGTAACAGATGTCTGTTTCCATTAATCGAATGGCCGGTGAGCAGTTTGGCTGCTGGAATAATATTAGAGTGGAGTGGATGAATGTGCGCAGGTAGCCTACAGGAGACTTTTGAACTAGCCTAATCAGATTAATACATTGTGACTAGTTTTGTTTATGCCACAAATAAAAGGTAATACATTTTAAAAGTTAAATGACAAATATTTAGGTTATATTGAAGTGTTTGGTTCTAGGTCGAGGAATAGCCACTCGGATCAGAAAGTAGACAGAACATGTCTTAAGCTTTCCTGAATAACTGGGCCTACTGGGAGCATAGGACCATGTGGCCACACTATAGAGGACGACTTGGGAGAATGATGATCGGCCACAGACAGCGCATCAGCATTAGAAGTAAAAATACAGCCAGACTGGCCTGCTACTGAGTCTTTCTATGATCTTTCGAGAGTAGACCCACAACTGATCCAAATGGAATGACTGGAATAAAACATTCAAATAACAGGGCTTTTGCGCCATTATTCAAATAACATTTTCACTGCAGTTTACAGCCTATAGTAGAATTGTACTCAATTGTCAAATTTAAAACAATAATGCAATTATTCATTGGATTGTGGCGTTGTAGGCTAATCTAGGTAGGATAATTTTCTTGTCCATAAACAAGATCAATAGGGGAGCTTTTTGAGCTGCATGTGTTCACTGTTCTTTCATGCGCAATGATGCACCTGGCCTCTCTGCTGCCTATCAGCTATTCCTCTATCTTGTGAATGTATATAGAAAATTGGTGCAGATTCGAATGATTTTATGTGTGGTATGATTGTTAGATCTGGACAAACGATCCAACTACCACTATTGTCACTATGGCTAGATGGCAGGATAGACAGTTGACTGGTATACTATATTGACCTGTGGTATAGTACGAGTGTGGAAGTACCCAAACACCTTGATAGGGGAGGAGCAAGCAGATGAGGAAATGTGCAAAATGGAGAATGTAAATCAGGGGGAAAACGCACTCCCCTCCTGTGTCCAATATGTATTTATTTTACTCCCCAAAGCAAAAATTAAATAGCTGATCATGTTTACTTTGCAAGCTACTGGTAGAAACGTTGTACAGTAGGCTAAACATATTAGTAAGTAGACCCAATGTACTTTTTTCTCCAACAAACGTAGGCCTGCCTACCTAGCGAAGTTAGCTAATATAACCCCCCTTTATAACATTGTTTTTAAGAGTGTTTAATCGCGATTGCTGCTGACAGACATATACATTGATTGATGGACCGCGTCGGTCAAATTGGCTAGATAGCTAATAGAAGATCACGTCAATGTGGCTAGTTAACAAGTTAATTTTCAATGGATAAACTAGATGGCCAAATATAGTTTGATTTGCTTGCCATCTAATAGTGGTGATGACAGTAGTCCGACTGACAACTTTACCAGGATGAGGACTCTTTCCAAATCGGAAGAAGCAAGCTACAGTAAATGAGACGTTTGCATTGCTAGCTAACGTTACATGCCAAATGTATAGGATACCCTCACCTATCTGATCAATTGCTTTTTACTCATGCAAAGCATGCACTTAGCTACTTGCTGTATAACTCTAATGATAGAGCTAAATGTGGGATTGTCGGAAGTGTGTAGTTCTGATTATGCTCTTCAAGAGTTTGATATTAAAACCAAATAGTTATTGAAAACGGCACGTATTTGTCGATGGTTTTAGCGGAGCTGGGGGTCTCCTTGCCCCCAGCAGCCAAATCGAACTCTCTGCACCGTATTGTGACGTTTTATTGTTAATGACCTATAGGACATTCGAGTAATTTCCAAACAACTGTTTCAATTTTAGGCATAAAAACTGTTTGTTCTATAGATTAGGAAAGTCATTGCTTGATTCCCACCATGCATGTTCAGCACGTACAACATGAAAGGCTACAACTAGCTAAGCATGTCAAAAGTGTGAAACGTTAGTTCAGTGAGAGCGCACGAGGAAAGATGAGGAAACAGCCCGCTTCTGTACAGGTGTAGGCTATTTGAGGTCATTAAATGGCGCAAGACTAACCATGCATCTAATTTTATTTACTGTTATCACTCAGGATGTTTTTACTTACCAGAAATACTTAGCTAGCTAGCTACACTAGAAAACTGGAATGACTTTAGGTGGCACAGCAGTGACGCACACACGCATTGCAAACGGGAGTCCACTAAGGGTTTCAACTAGATAGCACAGCCACAAAGTCCAAATTGGCTATATCGTAAAAATTTCTAAAAACAAAAATGTGATTTTTGGTCTTAATTTAAGGTTATGGTTAGGCATAAGGTTAACCATGTCGATAAGGTTAGGTCTAAAATTACATTTTTAAGAAGATAAATTGTAGAAATGGGCGGGGTTTGTGACTTTGTGGCTGTGGTAACTAGTTACAACAGAGTCCAAGTACCAGAGATATTACAGAAAGGAGGAGATAGGAATCGCATTGCAAGGAATGGAGAAACACAGCAGACTGTTGGACCAATTGCGTTCACGTTGTCATTGAGCATCACGCGGTTGCTAACATAATCCCTCCTCAGTCAGGGTATGAGTCGATAAACCTGTATATTTTCCTCGAACGTACGTAGTTTCACGATTCCAACGCTATACAATATTACAGAAAACAAGTTAATTATCTCACATCTCAGAAAATATTTGTAATGTTGTACTTTTTGTTCACGAAATTCATGCTAATGTTGTCGAGCTAGCACTCAATTGACTGCCATTCTCTCCTTGAAGGAAAGCGCTCCTTGTCCCAGAATTGCCCAGAGTGCACCGCGTAGCCCATTGACGATGCAGGGGCAACGCACACAATGGGCGGTAATAGGATTCCAATTGAGTTTCACATCTCTTCAAACTGATCTCTGCTAGTGCACGCGTATTGGGGAATTCATAGTTAGCTACGTTGTTATTCACGTTCCCATATATTCTGTGTTTAGCTAGCTAGTAATCTGTTTACCGTTCCCTTTTAAAAGCTCCTTCTGTACAAAGTTGTCGAAGTGGCAGTTGTTTAAATATTTTGTCACTATGGATGTTTGGAGAAAGTTTCGTCGCTCCCACAACTTGTATTGGTCCGCTTTCGTGGCGTGTTATTGTAGCCAGTAACGTAACGTTACTGTTAGCTAGCTTAGCATAGGTCGGTGGCTTTCCCAGTCAAATCTCAGCCTTTCCTGTTTACTCTTGGACGGCAGGAGTTGAGCACTTTATTCCAGGGACTCGGCCTAGTCTAGTAGTGACTTTCTTCTAAGGTAAAGGCTTAGCTACATTTCTAAACTTTTTCTGAAGTTAACAGATATGACACCAAAAATGGTATAGACGTTGTTCATCGTTTCTTCTGACTACAGTTACAAAGACGTTTTGCTAACTTACTAAGTTAGCTAGTTTAGCTAGACCAAACACAGGCTACCTTACTTTGCGCATGTGTAAACAAATAGCTAAAACACATTCATGTTGTGAATAATTACACTTGAAGGAATAGCAGTGGTGACACCCTGCAGTTAATTAACTCTATAAAGCTGGAACGAACTGTGTGAGTGAGAAATAATGTTTGCTAACTAGCTAGCTAGTTACGTTAGATGCTGATGGAGGATGGTATTCCATCACAACAAGAGGATAACGTTAGATTCACAAGAATTTAGCAACTCATTTAACTAGCTACACGAGACCAGTCTGTTTTTCTGTACTTTGTTTAAGATCGGGTATCTATTGCTTATTATATATTGATACAAAATATTCAGAACTCAAGAAGTTAGTTACTGTACTGTAGCTATCAAAAATGGGATAATCTCGGAACACAGAACCAAATTCTCGCGTGAACGCTAATTTGGGAAAGAGGGGATGTGGGCCTAAATCTGTGCTAGCGAACCATGAAGTTGTTGATGGAATGATGATTGACATGTATTTGGTGGTGTTTTCCCCTCTACAGGTATCTCACCAATCTTCAAGGCCTCCAAAATGTCGATTTTAGGATTAAAAAAGAAACAACCAAAGACTTTTAAGGTCAAAGTCATCACTATGGATGCTGAAATGGAGTTTAGTTGTGAGGTAATGTACTTTTGCCTTATTGTAATGATGACATTACATTTTCGTGTGTATGACAAACAGCAACAGTAGCTGAAATAGTAGTCTTGAATGCCCCACCCCCACACTTCCTCCCTCAACACGGTCATGTTAGAAAACTGTACAAAGAATTATTAATGCTAATATTCTCTGTCACCTCTGCTCCCCCGTCTCTCAGGTGAAATGGAAAGGGAAGGACCTGTTTGATCTGGTGTGTCGGACAGTGGGTCTGAGGGAAACCTGGTTCTTTGGGCTCCGGTACACAGTGAAGGAAACCTATGCATGGCTGAAAACAGAGAAACGGGTGAGTGAGAGACTGAAGGAGAGAAGAGGGGAGCAGGGCTTGAGGGGAGGCAGGAGAGAAGAGGAAGGGATAGGTCTTGATAGGAGAGAGAGAAGGAGTGGAGGGAGGGGTGTGAGGGAGAGGAGTAGATGGGGGGGGGGGGGGGGGGAGGGAGAGAGAAGGAAAGATAGCAAGAGAATGAAAAAATCAGACACGTCATTGCCTAACAGTATTGATTTTTTGTTTGTGTGTATGCAGGTCTTGGATCAAGAGGTCCCTAAAGACTCGCCGATAACGTTTCACTTCCTGGCCAAATTCTTCCCAGAGAAGGTAGAAGAAGAGCTGGTGCAGGAAATCACACAACACCTCTTCTTCCTGCAGGTAAAACAACCACAACTGTATTTTAACTCTTGTTAAGGAATCCAGGAATCTAACGATGCGTTGATGTCAATTATGTGTATATATACGCGTCATTGGTTGATGTCAATGGGAGATTAGTACTGCACATCATGGATGTCAAGTTCAGATTCATCTCTTTTATGTTTGAACTTTACTACTGTAGCTTAATTGTCCTGAAGAGTCTCTTGTCATGCCAACTGTTTTAAGACTATCCAGTGTCTCTTCTGAGAAAGGGTTGGGTTAATGTAACGGAAGCATGTCTAATTCCCTCCAGGTGAAAAAGCAAATATTAGACGAGGAGATTTTCTGTTCTCCTGAAGCCTCTGTTCTGTTGGCGTCATACGCTGTTCAAGCCAAGGTAAGGCCTTTGCTTGTGATTATCCTGTGTTGATGTTAATGTATGGGCTGTGTTTTCAAGGCTTCTCCAGATGTAGATCCACATGAATGTCTATTCTCTCATACAGTATGGGGACTATGAACCAAACTTTCACAAGCCAGGGTTCTTGGCCCAGGATGAGCTCCTACCTAAAAGAGTAAGTAGTACCACTTTGGAATAAAAAATAAATAAGGGTATGTGTGTGCGTGATCATGTTATTTGTGTATGTTTGGTCATCTTTTGATGTGTGTGATCATGTTGTTATTTGTTTGTTTTCCACAGGTTCTGATGCAGTACCAGATGACCGCAGACATGTGGGAGGAGAAGATCACAGCCTGGTACGCAGAGCACAGAGGCATCGCCAGGTAAGTCCAGCTGACGCAGCTACTACTACTTATATAGAGAAGTCCTGAAGTACTCCCAGCAGTACACATTCTTGTTGTAGCCTTGGACTAACACACCTAGGGAGCATTCTGCAGCACACCATGTTTTGGAACATTCAGACTGATGATTAGTTGAATAGAATCAGATGTGCTTGTGTGGTTCTACGGCAAAAATGTGTACTGTTGGGGTTACTGGAGGACCGGAGTTGAGAAACACCGCTGTAGATCAATATCTACCAGTACCAGACAAGTCAGATGTTTCTCCCATTGATACAGAACTACATGACCCATTGACTTGTGTTGTTGGGCCAGAGACAGTGTTGTCTAATGATTGATGTTTGGTATGTGTGCTGTTCGCAGGGATGAGGCGGAGATGGACTACCTGAAGATAGCTCAGGACCTGGACATGTATGGAGTCAGCTACTTTGCCATCACTGTGAGTCACTCCTTCAGTCAAACACTTCTCTCTCACTTTGGTTGCGTCCCAATGATATCTCCTTTCTCCTGAAGTGTACACTCGTTCACTACTTTCCACAAATGTAAAAGCATTGGATTGGTGAAGGCATGGGCTAGAGCATAGGTCACTAACAGGCGGACCGCGGTCCGGATCCGGACCCAGAAGCCGTCCCATACGGACCCGGACCAAAACAAAAGATTATGAATTAAAACCTGACGGGGCGCTTCTATTTTAATATGCACAGCTTTTGTAGTCTTTACGGTACTCGTTTTGTGAATGAGGAAACTCACCGACCAATTGCATGTGAGTTAAGCGATCCCACGTGATACCACTCAGCCAATGAAGTCTTTGCATTCCTGGCGGTAAACATTGGGACTCTACAGTGCAGACAGATGAGAGTTTTAGAGGCAAGTTACCAAGGAAAAGAAAGTCGGATTAAAAAGATAGCGATATATGTAGAAAACAAAGGGAGCGAAAACAGACGAATGAGACGGAGAAAGGGAACGAAACAGACGAGTGAGAAACAGACGAATGAGACGGAGAAAGGGAGAGATACAGACGAGTGTGCCGGAGAAAGCTGAGGAAAATATGAGTGAGACGGAGAAAGGGAGCGAAACAGACGAGTGAGGCAGAAAAAGGGTAACAGTTAGAGAAAATAAGGAACAAATGGCACTCTCCAAAAAAAGAAAAGTGGACAATGAAAACAGAGCATTTAATCCAGAATGGACAGACTCATTTCTGTTCATACTTCCCAATGGGAGCACTAAACCAGTGTGTCTCATATGTGCAGAAACCGTGGCACTTATTAAAAGTGGCAATGTGAAACGCCATTATGAGACAAAACATAAAGGTTTTGAACAAACGTACCCACTCAAATCTGAATTGAGATCACAGAAAGTAAGTAGTCTCAGAGCCCAATATGACCAGTCCACCAGGATCCTGAGCAACACATTCACTGCCCAACAACGTGCTCTTGAGTGTTCCCTCAGTTTCTTGGATTTTGGGTAAACACAAAAAGCCATTTACAGATGGAGGGGTTGTCAAAGAATGCATGAGTGCAGTAGCTGAAACACTACTTGAGGGAAAACAAAAAAATGAGCTTTGTGATAAAATAAAGCAAATTCCCATGTCAGCATCATCTGCCACAAAGAAAAGTGAAATATTAACTCAGGATGTGCTAACCCAGCTAGATGAAGCCATGCATAAGGCACCATGTGTAGGCTTAGCTGTGGATGAGTCCACTGACATATGTGACAATGCTCAGCTGTTAGTGTTTGCCAGGTTTTTCAACACAGCCCAGAAAACATTCTGTGAAGACATGTTAGGTGTCACTCCCCTTCAGACCAGTACAAGAGGAGAGGATATCTACCTGGCCATTAAGGAGATGTTAACAAAAAGAGGAATAGAGCCAAAACAAGTGGTTTCAATAACCACAGATGGAGCCCCTTCTATGATAGGGAAAGAAAAAGGAGCTGTAGCAAGACTGAAAGGGGACAATCCTGAGCTTTTATCTTACCATTGCATCATTCATCAATCTGTCCTCTGTGCCTCCCTGTCAGATGAGCATGCTGAGGTGATGAATACAATGATGAAAATGATAAATTTTCTCAGGGCATCCTCTTCCTACCAGCATCGCATGCTTAGGGAATTCCTCAGAGAAGTTGATGCCAATGCTGATGATCTTTTGCTGCACAACAATGTGAGATGGCTCAGCAAAAGCAGGGTGCTAGAGCGCTTTTGGTCCATCAGGAGGGAATTAGCATCTTTTTTGGCAGAGCTAAGCAGTCAGAAGGCAACACAGTTTTCTCTCTTTTTAGAAAATGAGAAATGGATGGATAATGTGGCCTTTTTGGTTGACATCACGTCACATCTGAATGAACTGAATTTGAGGCTACAGGGCAAGGACAATTCAATTTGTGAACTGATGACAGCTGTTCGCTCCTTTCAGAGGAAACTTGAAGTGTTCAAGGAAGACCTGCAGGGAGACTGTGTACACTTCCCAGCAGTGCAGGAACAGGTTCAGGGACAGAGAGATTTGTCTTCTTTTGTTGATTTTATTGATAAGCTGATTGTAAACTTCAGCAACCGTTTTGACAGCTTCAGCTTTGGAGAGCAGCTCACCATGTTCATTCAGAACCCATTTCTGATCACAGATGTCAGGGGGTTCTCAAAGGAAGTCACACAGCACTTTAAATGGGTAAATGCTGGGTCTCTCCAGATGCAATTGGTTGATCTCCAAGCAGATGTGGCCCTGAAAGAGCAGTTTGTAAGAACTGACCCTTCCACTTTCTGGTTCCAAATGGTCCCTGAGACTGCTTTCCCGGGTCTGAGGAAAGTAGCCCTATACATCTTGACCATGTTTGGCTCCACATACAACTGCGAGGCAGCTTTCGCCACAATGAACATAATTAAAACTAAATATCGTTCCAGGCTCACCAATGAGCACCTTCACATGTGTATGAGAATGGCCCTGACTCCATTCAAGCCCAGGTTTAAAATTCTGGCAAGACAGGCTAAAGCTCAATTCTCTCACTGAGCAAAAACATGGTGGAGTGGGATATGAGGGGAAGAAAGTGATACTCTAAAACTGTTCAATTGTTAAGATCTGTTGAGATTTATTATTTGTAAAATTGGTTGAGACTGTTGAGTCAAGATGTGAAACAGAAAAGGGGAAATTCAAACTTTTCCTCCCTTTATATTATTTTTCTGAAGTTAAGCACTTTTTTTGAAAATGCACAATTTTCACATTTTATTTATTTTCTCTTATTTTGACATGCAGCCCTAGTTTTATTTAGTTAATTAATGAGAGCACATTGTACATATCTACAGTCATACATATATGTTCAGTAGGGCTGCCCCTCTTAGTCGATTAGTCGACTAATCGGTCGTTTTGGTCTTAGTCGACTAAGATTTCTTTAGTCGATAAGTCATTTTTTATGCTTATTCATGCTTAATTACTCATTTCCAAGTAACTTATGAGAACATTTCTGGTGAACACGAGATTTAAAGTGGTGCTTTTGCAGGATTAATTTCGGAGAAACTCAGTTTTACAGATGGTTAATTAACTACATTTATATTGCGCTTTTCTAGTCTTGCACAGCTCTGTCGATTTTAAATCAACTAATCGATTAGTCGACAAACTCATATAAGTGTTAGTCGACTAAGAATTTCTTTAGTCGAGGACAACCCTAATGTTCAGTTCTATGTTTCGTGATAATAAATATTGTCAACAAGTTTTTGAATTGTACTGAATTAATTTGATTAGACGGTCAGTTATTGATTACATTCAGAACTACTAGGCTACTTAAATATATATACCACTAAATTGTTAGACATTATGATCTTCTGGACCTTTGCTTCAAAACATTTTCTCTAACTGGACCTTTTTTAAATTTTGTTGAATACCCCTGGGCTAGAGGGAGTCTCCACCATGTTTCTTATAACCTCCAGTCAAACAGTAGTTTGTTACCCTCTCTCTTGTGTTTTCATATTGTATAACAGGAATGGGCTGCGGGCAACTGCAGGACTCACTGGCCTGATTGGGGAGAAACTTTTGCCCTAGCCCTAGCTGACACCCACCCACCTGACTCTTTTATAATCAACCAATCACTGCCTCCAGTTTAGAATACAATTAGTTTAATCGGCTGTGTTAGCTAGGGCTGGGGAAAATGTGTGACACCAATCAGGCCGGGAGTAGGACTTGTTGCCCATCCTTGTTTATTTTTTAAATATTTTATTGTCACATACACCGGATAGGTGCAGTGAAATGTGTTGTTTTTGCCATACGGCGCCGGTGGAGCAAATTAAATTCGTCGGGAGCTTCATGAAATGGGTTTCCATGGCTGAGCAGCCGCACACAAGCCTAAGATTACCATGCGCAATGCCAAGCGTCTGCTGGAGTGGTGTAAAGCTCGCCGCCATTGGACTCCGAAGCAGTGGAAACGCATTCTCTGGAGTGATGAATCAAGCTTCACCATCTGGTAGTCCAACGGACTAATCTTGGTTTGGCGGATGCCAGGAGAACATTACCTGCCCGAATGCATGGTGCCAACTGTAAAGTTTGGTGGAAGAGGAATAATGGTCTGGGGCTGTTTTTCATGGTTCGGGCTAGGCCCCTTAGTTCCAGTGAAGGGAAATCTTAACGCTACAGCATACAATAACATTCTAGACTATTCTGTGCTTCAAACTTTGTGGCAACAGTTTGGAGAAGGCCCTTTCCTGTTTCAGCATGCACAAAGCGAGGTCCATACAGAAATTGTTTGTCGAGATCATTGTGGAAAAACTTCACTAGCCTGCACAGAGCTTGACTTCAACCCCATCGGCCACCTTTGGGATGAATTGGAACATTGACTGCGAGCCAGGCCTAATCACCAAACATCAGTGCCCGACCTCACTAATGCTCTTGTGGCTGAATTGAAGCAATGATCCAACATCTAGTGGAAAGCCTTCCCATAAGAGTGGAGGCTGTTATAGCAGCAAAGGGGAGGACCAACTCCATATTCATGCCCATGATTTTGGAATGAAATGTTTGTCGAGCAGATGTCCACATACTTTTGGTCATGTAGTGTATATACAGTGCCTTGCAAAAGTATTCATCCCCCTTGGCGTTTTTCCTATTTTGTTGCATTACAACCTGTAATTTAAATGGATTTTTATTTGGATTTCATGTAATGGACATACACAAAATAGTCCAAATTGGTGAAGTGAAATGAAAAAAATAACTTGTTTCAAAAAAATCAATAACGGAAAAGTGGTGCATGCATATGTATTCACCCCGTTTGCAATGAAGCCCCTAAATGAGATCAGGTGCAACTAATTACCTTCAGAAGTCACATAATTAGTTAAATAAAGTCCACCTGTGTGCAATCTAAGTGTCACATGATCTCAGTATATATACACCTGTTCTGAAAGGCCCTAGAGTCTGCAACACCACCAAGCAAGCGGCACCATGAAGACCAAGGAGCTCTCCAAACAGGTCTAGGACAAAGTTGTGGAGAAGTACAGATCAGGGTTGGGTTATAAAAAGATATCCGAAACTTTGAACATCCCACAGAGCACCATTTAAATCCATTATTACAAAATTGAAAGAATATGGCACCACAACAAACCTGCCAAGAGAGGGCCGCCCACCAAAACTCACGGACCAGGCAAGGAGGGCATTAATCAGAGAGGCAACAAAGAGACCAAAGATAACCCTGAAGGAGCTGCAAAGCTCCACAGCGGAGATTGGATGATCTGTCCATATCAAGGAAAACGCTATGTCTGGCGCAAACCCAACCTCTCATCACCCCGAGGACACCATCCCAGTGAAGCATGGTGGTGGCAGCATCATGCTGTGGGGATGTTTTTCATTGGCAGGGACTGGGAAACTGGTCAGAATTGAAGGAATGATGGATGGCGCTAAATACAGGGAAATTCTTGAGGGAAACCTGTTTGTCTTCCAGAGATTTGAGACTGGGATGGAAGTTCACCTTCCAGCAGGACAATGACCCTAAGCATACTGCTAAAGCAACACTCGAGTGGTTTAAGGGGAAACATTTAAATGTCTTGGAATGGCATAGTCAACGCCCAGACCTCAATCCAATTGAGAATCTGTGGTATGACTTAAAGATTGCTGTACACCAGCAGAACCCATCCAACTTGAAGGAGCTGAAGCTTATAGAGACATACCCCAAGAAACTTGCAGCTGTAATTGCTGCAAAAGGTGGCTCTACAAAGTATTGACTTTGGGGGGTGAATAGTTATGCGTGCTCAAGTTCTGTTTTTTAATCTTATTTTTTGTTTGTTAAACGATAACATTTTGCATCTTCAAAGTGGTAGGCATGTTGTGTAAAAATCCATTTTAATTCCAGGTTGCAATGCAACATAATAGGAAAAACACCAAGGGGGGTGAATACTTTCGCAAGACACTGTATATGGAGATAGTTTAGTGCCTAAAATAAGGGGTTAAATACATGTAAAAAATATGTTGTTTCCTGATATTTCTTATATCTCTCAGATATACTACAGACACTTCAGAACAAACTGAATTTAGATTTTTTTGGGGGGGAACTATCTGTTGTTCCATGTAGTGAATCTGTTATTCAATGCATTTCTATTGGCAAATAGCAGTTATGCCAAATTCAATGTTTCATCAAATAGCTAAATGATCCTTGGTATGACCATCTTAAAACAATTCCATATGTTAGCTTATTATTATGGGACCAACGCGTTACATATTGCGTTTTATATTTTTGTTCAGCGACTTAATAGTACATGTATGAATATTATTATACGTTATGATGTGATATCTCCACAGCAAAGTAATCATGGCACAGACATGCATGAGTTTATATATATATGAATAGTACATGTGTAAATGTTATAATGTATATTTTGATATCTCCACAGCAAAATAAACGAGACACAGACCTGCTCCTCGGTGTAGATGCCCAGGGCCTTCATATTTACAGCCCCAACAGCAAACTGAACCCCAACAAGTCTTTCCCCTGGAGCGGCATCCGCAACATCTCCTACAGCGAGAAGGAGGTAACCACGGTGAATCTGCTATTATTTATTTATTTATTTAATTTTCATTCAATTAAAAATACATCTCTGGCGTTATGGCTACCTAGCCACGTTAAACCGGCCTGCTCTCGCGAGCTCACATTCTGTTTTACGTGAAGTAAAAACGAAATGTGATCGCATCATTCTGGTTTCCCTAAGTTAATGGCTACCATCTACTACACAGATGATAACATGTTATTAACTTTGTCCTATCCCCTGGTACAGTTCACAATAAAACCTCTGGACAAGAAGAAAGATGTTTTCAAATTCTACTCCTCCCAACTGAGAGTCAACAAACTGGTAGGTTGTTGTTTGTAGGAAGTCAGAGTTAGCGCCAGTTTTAACCTCTTATCTGGGAAAGCCCATTTTAACCTGCTCCTGTGTGTGTGTGTGTGTGTGTGTGTGTGTGTGTGTGTGTGTGTGTTCAGATCCTGCAGCTGTGCATTGGGAACCATGACCTCTTCATGAGGAGGAGGAAGGTGGACTCCATCGAGGTGCAGCAGATGAAGTCTCAGGCCAAGGAGGAGAAGGCCCGCAAAAAGGTTAGCTCTCAACACATCCACATCCACGCTACTCTACCACCTCCCTGTATTTGTGTCATTGTGTCGTTTTCAGAGATATGCAGTGTTTCTATATAGACTTAGTATCTTTTCATTGAAAAATACTGGCAGCTATGTTTTGAACATAGCACTCTGTTCATGTCAGTTGCTAGCCAGTCTGTTCTCTGATTGGCTGTTCTGCCTATCTGTCTGCAGGCAGAGGGTTCTGATTGGTTGCGAGTGATATTGTTTGTTCTCTGATTGGCTGTACTGCCTGTCCGTCTGCAGGTGGAGCGTCAGATCCTGGCGCGTGAGAAGCAAATGAGGGAGGAGGCAGAAAGAGCGAAGGAGGAGATGGAGAGACGGCTGTTCCAGCTGCAGGACGAGGCACGGCTGGCCAATGAGGCGCTGGTGAGGGTGGCGTCTGTTCCATGAGGGCGGGGTCTCCTTAGGAATGTTTATGAACTGTCTATAAGTGTTGAGTCTGCTTATGAAGGTGTTGTGTCTGCTTATGAAGGTGTTGTCTGCTTATGAAGGTGTCTGCTTATGAAGGTGTTGTGTCTGCTTATGAAGGTGTCTGCTTATGAAGGTGTTGTGTCTGTTCGTAGCTGCGTTCAGAGGAGACTGCAGACCTGCTGGCGGAGAAGGCCCAGATTGCCGAGGAGGAGGCCAAGCTGTTGGCCCACAAGGCTGCCGAGGCGGAGCAGGAGAGGCAGAGGATAGAGGCCACGGCCCTCAAGACCAAGGAGGAGAAGAGACTGATGGAGCAGAAGATGAGGGAGGCAGAGCAGCTGGCCGTCAAACTGGTGGAGCAGTCAGAGAGGAGGTACAGATATTACTGTCAATATTCATGTTGTTATTATTAGTGTTTTAGTTGAAGAATAAGTAGTAGTAAAGGTCAAATGTAGCCACGAGCAGCAGGAGGAACGGCGGAGGTAGCAGATGAGCTTAAAGCAGCAGCAGGAGGAACGGCGGAGATAGCAGATGAGCTTAAAGCAGCCGCAGTAGGAACGGCAGAGATAGCAGATTAGTTTAAAGCAGCCGCAGGAGGAACGGCAGAGATAGCAGATGAGCATAAAGCAGCCGCAGGAGGACAGGCAGAGATAGCAGATTAGTTTAAAGCAGCCGCAGCAGGAATGGCATAGATAGCAGATGAGCTTAACCTAAGACAATGTACTCACACAGAGTGTCTGAACATGTGCCTGGGGTGCGCTTCGCTGTGCACCATTGTGATAGCTGCGACCCCAAACCGCAGAGAGGTTTAGCCTCCCACTTGGCGCTCTTGGTTCTAAAAGTCGGCCCAGCTCTGCTGTGTACTTTGTGCGTTGCTGACTCTACCTTGAAGTCAATGAACAGTAAGTAGCGGTTCCTCCCTGCAGGTCGAAGGAGGCGGACCATCTGAAGCAGGACCTGACGGAGGCCAAGGATGCTGAGAGGAGAGCCAAGCAGAAACTCCTGGAGATCACCAAGACCACTTACCCGGTACAGAAAACTAGAACCCTAACCAAGACCACTTACCCGGTACCTGAACCATCACTTTAGAGCTCACCACTACTACAATCACCACTATGACATACCCAGTACACTCCACACCATAACCATACTGATCATGTCTAACAACAGACAGTAGAGGTCATCAAAACCACATCCTCCATTTTTCCTGGCCCCTCTCTCTGACTGGCCCCTCTCTCTGACTGGCTCCTCTCTGACTGGCCCCTCTCTTTTTCTCTCTCACTGTGTGTGTTCCAGCTCATAGCGGCCTACTCCACCCCCCCTCCTCCCCCAGAAGGAGGAGACCTAGCTCTGGGATCCGGATCGATGCGGATCGACTTTAAAGACTCTGATATGAAGAGACTGTCAATGGAGATAGAGAGGGAGAGGTGAGCTGGGCTCCCTCCCAAATGGCATCCCATTTCCTATGTAGTGCACAAATTTTGACAAGGGTCCATAGGGCTCTGGTCTAAAGTAGTGCACTAGATAGGGGACACAGTGTCATTTGGGACACAACCCTGGAGCTTGGGCTGCGTTTCATTCCAAAAAGTTTTTCCCTTTTCTCATGACCTTGTTTACTCTGCTTCGAAAACTGATATTGTTACATAGGTGAAGGCTATCTCACTCTCTCTCTGCCCTCCACCCTCTCTCCCTCCACCCTCTCTCTCTCTCTCTCTGCCCTCCACCCTCTCTCCCTCCACCCTCTCTCCCTCCCTCCTCTCCCTCTCTCCCTCCACCCTCTCTCCCTCTCTCTCTCCCTCCACCCTCTCTCTCTCGCTCTCTCTCTGCCCTCCACCCTCTCTCCCTCCTCCTCTCCCCTCCCTCCTCTCCCTCCACCCTCTCTCCTCCCCCTCTCTCTCTCTCTCCTCCTCTCCCTCCACCTCCACCCTCTCTCCCTCCACCCTCTCTCCCTCCACCCTCTCTCTCTCGCTCCTCTCCACCCTCTCCTCCCTCTCCCTCTCTCCCTCCCTCTCTCCTCCCCTCTCCTCCCCTCTCTCCTCCACCCTCTCCTCCCTCCTCTCTCTCTCCCCTCACCCCTCTCTCCTCTCCCTCCCCACCTCTCCCTCCCTCCGCCCCTTCCCTCCACCCTCCTCTGCTCTCCCTCTCTGCCCCACCCTCTCTCCCATCCACCCCTCTCTCCCTCCACCCTCTCTCCCTCCACCCTCTCTCGCTCCCTCTCCCAGACTGGAGTACGTGGAGAAGAGTAAACACCTGCAGGACCAGCTGAAGGAGCTGAAGTCGGAGATTGAGTCTCTGAAGCTGGAGGAGCAGCAGCAGCAGCAGGCTGGGGTCTACGGCCTCCGCAACGAGTCCCGCGGCTACCCCCCAGAACCACCCTACATGCCCCATAGTAATGTAAGAACTACTCCCCAGAACCACCCTACATGCCCCATAGTAATGTAAGAACTACTCCCCAGAACCACCCTACATGCCCCATAGTAATGTAAGAACTACTCCCCAGAACCACCCTACATGCCCCATAGTAATGTAAGAAGTACCCCCCAGAACCACCCTACATGCCCCATAGTAATGTAAGAAGTACCCCCCCAGAACCACCCTACATGCCCCATAAGTAATGTAAGAACTACCCCCAGAACCACCCTACATGCCCCATAGTAATGTAAGAACTACTCCCCAGAACCACCCTACATGCCCCATAGTAATGTAAGAAGTACCCCCCCAGAACCACCCTACATGCCCCATAGTAATGTAAGAAGTACCCCCCCAGAACCACCCTACATGCCCCATAGTAATGTAAGAAGTACCCCCCCAGAACCACCCTACATGCCCCATAGTAATGTAAGAAGTACCCCCCCAGAACCACCCTACATGCCCCATAGTAATGTAAGAAGTACCCCCCCAGAACCACCCTACATGCCCCATAGTAATGTAAGAACTACCACCAGAACCACCCTACATGCCCCATAGTAATGTAAGAACTACCCCCCAGAACCACCCTACATGCCCCATAGTAATGTAAGAACTACCCCCCAGAACCACCCTACATGCCCCATAGTAATGTAAGAACTACCCCCCCAGAACCACCCTACATGCCCCATAGTAATGTAAGAAGTACCCCCCCAGAACCACCCTACATGCCCATAGTAATGTAAGAACTACTCCCTAGAACCACCCTACATGCCCCATAGTAATGTAAGAACTACCCCCAGAACCACCCTACATGCCCCATAGTAATGTAAGAACTACCCCCAGAACCACCCTACATGCCCCATAGTAATGTAAGAGCTACTCCCCAGAACCACCCTACATGCCCCATAGTAATGTAAGGACCAGGAAAAACTCAGGGGCCCGTTTAAGAGATGTATTTTTCCTTCTCAAACATTTTTGTCTTTGTTCTTTCAGAGAAACTCCGCCTACATGGCTCAGATGGCTTTTTTTGAGGAAGTGTGATCCAACTGCCATTGGATGAAACAGGGCTAGGCTAAGTGCCATTGGAAGACACGCAGGGAGGCGGGACATTGGTTGTGACTCATCGTTCCTGAATACCAAGATATGCCTACTTCATCTATTTTTGTTTTGTGCCTGACAAAAGGAACACACACACACACACTCCCACACTCCCAGTGACACTCCAGAAAGACTGTGTGCTTTGGAAAGATTTGTATTCCTCAGATGACACACACACACACCACAACACTGCAGGTTTTCCTTCCAGTTTTCCGTTATGTTTTATGAACTTTATAATACACTATTTGATACAGCCCTAGTTACACTGCCTGTGGGCGTATATTATCAAAGACGGTGCTGTGTTCTGTGGAAGTGTTTTACTTTAATGTTTGCTTTTTAAAGGGATGCCTGGTAGTGTGATAGAGGTTTGACAGAGGTATATTATCCAATATGACTGACTCTACACTACAGTGTGCCTTTAGGAGTATACCCCTCTCCTCTCTCTCTCTCTCAGCGACCAGGATCATGTCTGTCAAGCTACCAGGTTTCAGGTGTGATACCTTGCCTTCGCTGAATAATGTCTTACTTTACTCAGTCGTTGTTGTTGTTGTAGCATGGTTGTCTGATCGCCTCTAGAGCAACATGCATGTGTCTTAGCCTCACGTTATATCCGTTCTGGATGCTCCTCCTAACCATTATCAATTCAAAACTGTCATTTCAACACTGTCATTTCAACACTTGTTGACGTACCTTAATATGCAATCCCTCGTTCACTAGTGCCTGTTATGCAACGTCCCAAAAAGCACTCTATTCCCTTTTTAGTGCACTGCTTTTGACCAGGGCCCTATTTAGTGCACTGCTTTTGACCAGGGCCCTATTTAGTGCACTGCTTTTGACCAGGGCCCTATTTAGTGCACTGCTTTTGACCAGGGCCCTATTTAGTGCACTGCTTTTGACCAGGGCCCTATTTAGTGCACTGCTTTTGACCAGGGCCCTATTTAGTGCACTGCTTTTGACCAGGGCCCTATTTAGTGCATATAGGGTGCCATTTGGGACGCAGCCCTGCCTGGAGTGTCCAACACCTCTGGGGTGGGTTTAACTCCAACACCTCTGGGGTGGGTTTAACTCCAACACCTCTGGGGTGGGTTTAACTCCAACACCTCTGGGGTGGGTTTAACTCCAACACCTCTGGGGTGGGTTTAACTCCAACACCTCTGGGGTGGGTTTAACTCCAACACCTCTGGGGTGGGTTTAACTCCAACACCTCTGGGGTGGGTTTAACTCCAACACCTCTGGGGTGGGTTTAACTCCAACACCTCTGGGGTGGGTTTAGCACTCAGACAAGAGTCCGCTTCTCTTCTGATTTATACTACATCTTGTTAGTGCTTAGCTCTAGAAAAAGAAGTGAAGCCACTCAGGGAGAGAGAGAGAGATTTGTTATTGTGAGGGAAGTAGATTTTAGATTGATGTAATAACTCATGGTTAAGGGTTGGGGTCAATTCCATTTCACAGTGACTCTTTTAAAATATAGAAACGATCTGAAAATAACGGACTATAGTAAGATTATAATGCCTATTGACTGAGTTGAAATGGTCTTGACCCAACCTTTGCTGTGTTTTTTTTGATGAGAGCCATGTCTTACGTGGTCAGATGTCCTAACTAACAGAACGCTGCTTGGCAGATTATGCAACATTTTAAAGGCTGGGGGTTGGTTTGGCATTTGTGTGGCCGCAGACACCTGCACATACAGACACACAGCCGTGTGTTCAAAACGTGTCAATATCACATTTTAAGTTACTTAAATGCAATGTAAACCCTACATTTATTGGTCATTTTTTTATTGTAATATAAATAAATTATTGTGAGATCTGTTGGGAAATGGAAGTTTCGTCTAACCGATGTCAGGTTTGAATTGAAATGGAGTTGTTTTGGATGGCAAGATATCACACTCTCAGCATAACTGTTGTGTACATGTGTTCTTCATTTCTGATGGTTATACCTACGTATGTCTGTAGAATAAATAGAATAGTGGTCTTGGTTGCTAGTTAACTCCTTTTGTTGTTTATCTGAAACTAGAAAGTCTCTGACTTTATTTACTGTTCTTGAATGAACCATTCCTACTTTTTCATCCTCTTCCTCCCCCTTATCCTCCTCCTCCCTCTCTCGCACTCCTCCTTTTCATGATGTGTTCATCAGCTTTAAAGGTCTTAAGTGTCACGTCAGTTTAAGCAACTGTTTGTTTTAATGGATGACCTCCGATCTGTTCCATATCTACAGGTTTACTGTGATCGCCCATCTCCGTCCCAATGGAACCCTATTCCCTATATAGTGCACTACTTTTGACCAGGGCCAGCATCAGGCTCTGGTCAACAGTAGTGCACTATACAGGGGGAATAGGGTTCCATTTGGGTTCACAGTAACCATATGGCTGTGTCTCAACACTCTGTCACGGCGTCCTTTCATTTTAGGGCGGTTAGTAACCTAGCGGTTAGTTAGGCCAGTAACCGGCCTAAAAGGTTGCTGGTTCGAATACCTGAGCCGACAAGGTGAAAAATGTGCCCTTGAGCAAGGCACCTAACCCTACTTTGCTCCTTTCCGCCGTACAACTATGGCTGACCCTGTAAAACACATTTCACTGCTAATATCCAGTGTGTGTGACGAAATATATATATATATTTTTTAACAACCTTGATTCTGTTCCTTCATTGCCACTAGTCAATTCTAGAGGTGTAGAGGTTTCCTCCCTGTTGCTGTCACCTATCATGCCCTGCCATATCAGCGGCCGTAGAGGAAAGGTGGCAAGGGAAGGAAGCTAGGTAACACTATCGAGACACAGCCAGGGAGGGACACGCTACAAATGCAAGTCACAATGTCTGAGTGCCGAGATTAAATGTTTTTAGTGCTGTTTTTTGCGTTTTGTCGTAAGCGAATCAATGCTGTCAAAGGGCTTGGCTGTTGCTTATAAAAAACAAATATACATTAACAATACCTGTTTGTCACAGTTCTTGATGGTTATAGTCTTGAAGTTGTACAACTCTAGTCTAACAAGTTTGATTTATGTTTCTTGTGTTTGATGTTTGGAATACATTTGAGAAGACAGATTTATTTTTGAGGGATAAAGTGTTAAGATCACTCTATTGGTTAATTGCACACAAGGTCCAACCAAAATGTTACTTCCGCTTTTAACCCAACCCCTCCGAAAGACACATCTAGGTTTTGATGCCAGCTCACTTTCTGGCAGAATATTTATTATTGGCAGACCCGGGATTCGAACTAGCAACCCTCTACCTCTAACCGCTAGGCTACCTGCCACACCAAAGACAGATTGATTGTTGGGGATGAAGTGTTGTCAAAGATAATAGAAAAAGGAAGTGAGAGTCCAAATGAAGCCGTACTTTATACATTTGGTGCTTAAGCTGTACAACTTTAGTCTAACAAGTTAGATTCATGATACATGTGTTTTGCTGATATTGGTAATCAAATTGTTTGTGAAACACTTCAGTGTTTGCAGATCTGTAAGGTGGAAACAAAATGGTGGAATCTCCACCACCACTGCTCATACCTATCCAGACCCTTCAAATCTGCTCGCATCGAAGGGTTAGGGCCAAGGGGTAGAGAGGGATTTGGGACTGGCTGACTGTGTCCACACTGTACCACTCTGATGTTCCACTAGAGGGGAGAAGAGATCCAGCTATTCTTGCTGGATGAGAAGTAAGCAGCTGATTCTCACCTATAGACAAGTTTACGCGCTGTATCCCGGGTGGCGCCATAACTCTACACACATGCATTTCATTTCCGCCGGAAGTTGTTGGCACAACGTCTGCCGGTGTAAACACAGCGATGACGACGCTAGCTTGGGAACACGGTTCTATCACAGCGAGCACAGCTAGAAAGGTGCCCATTCGCTCAACCACGGCGCCTGACAAGTTTTTGTCAGAACACTTACACCCATCCTTCCGTGGCAATGCCGCAACCCGTCAAGGAGCGGAGGGGGAGGAACTTGCAAGGGACTATTTGGAAACTCTGGGCAACAGCATTGAAACCAAAGGCTTAGTGGTGTGCGAAAAGGAACCGTGGCTTGCAGCATCTCCCGATGGAGTGATAAACAACGACATTCTGTTGGAGATCAAATCACCTGTGATGGGAAACAAGTCACTTGCAGAATTTTTGGCAACAAAGAACTGCGAAATCACAACTGTGGCAAACGGAGATAGGGTAGATTACCATATTGCCTGCAATGGTCCAAAAGGCTACTACATGCAGGTACAAATTGGGATGCACTGCACAGGGCTTCAGCACTCCAAGTTGGTGATCTGGAACAAAACTGAGCACCTAGAAATCGAAGTACCCTACGACCAAGGCTTTGTCCAGGGGCATATCATAAGGCTGCGCACATTCTACTTTGCCCACATGCTCCAGAAAATTGTTGATGATTTTGTTGAGGGAAGGTTACAGTTCTGCAGTAAATATCTCATCATTTTAAAACCAAAATAAACTGCCTTATTTAGGTCATGCCCACAGGAGCCAACAGATGTCCATTGTTTACATGATCTCTTTATGCTGTGCAATATATCAGTGTGCCTACTGTTTGAGTGAAAATAAAGTTTGATGTAATTTCAATCCTTAGAGTGCTACAATTTATTTTAACACAGTTCATAATTCATAGTAAGCTCATACTGTACATAAATAACACTGGATTAATTAATTGTTTTGAGGAAACTAAACAAATGGCTTCAACAAGAAAGATTGCGTGTTTAATCTTAACAGGTATTAAAAAGTAAAATACAAAAGCAGCCCACACAATTACATCCCTATGAAAATATTCATATATAATATTAAAAAATACAATGCACGCAGTATTTGTTGTGTTTATCTGTATTTAATGAACAACATGGCTGGGTGTTGGTAGACAGGGACACAGGGCAAGATTCTAAACCTCACTGATCAGTGGACTCTTCAGGTTAACTAGGCCAGCACAGATGGCACAGTCAATGATGCAGGTGGTTCGAGGGTAGTTCCTCTGAAACGACAAGGGCATGGTGGCACGAATGGTCTCTCTTGGAAGCCAGGGGATCAGGACTTTGAACTGTTCACCCATCACGTCAATCCAGTGACTAATCACAATGCTTGCCATGGATGTAGACACATTGAAGCGGTGAGCAATATCTCC